TTTTTTTTTTTTTTGTTCGTTCCTGGAGTATTCACCACTAATAGCAGTGATTAATCTCCTCGTTACGTTGGAGGTGCCTCAAAGAGTGGGATAGTTGGTCCCAAGATTTAACGCGGCTGCATACACAAGACAGGATTCAAACTCCTGACTTCAACTCCTACCGCTGAACCACACTTGGAGTTTAGGATAGACTTATATTGTAACCCATAATAGAACAGCCTATATGTATCCCTTGTACCGTTTATCTTCTTTCTTAATGAATTTTTCTTTGCTAATATAAAAAAGAAATGTACCATATATTAGTCAACAAACTGATCGAGCTAGTGTTTATACAAATATACAACACTGTAATGTGGTAAATATTTGATGAAATCAATAGTTATATAATTTTTTTGAAACCCTTTAATTTCTTATACATTTTCAGGCTAGAAATTTGTATTTGTTACTTTGAGAGGGTACGTATGCGAGTCAAATGTAGACAACTGCTTTCAAAAAGAATGCTGCATGCCACTCTAGACTATAGTGCCGCAAACTTAAAGGTACAGACACTACACACATGCACTGCAACACTGAGCTAGCCTTTTCAGTAAGACTCTGGCAATGAAATTTATTATTAGAGAAGCCAAAGTGTGAAGCATTTTAGTGTGTGTGAGACACAAAGAGAAACGAAAAGATAGAAGCACGTAAGTTAAGGTGACTGCAAACTAAAGTCATTATAGCGTAATAATATAGCACCGTGTTATGGTACAATATCCGTGTTGAAAGTCCATAGTATTTGTACGTGTGGAGTTTGTGTTTTCCCTATTCCCATTGGTCTAAAGTCCAAACCCAATAATGTCGTATTCAGTATTCACAACATCAAGCGTGTGTCAAACAACACCTGTGGTTACCTTAAAATAAATATCCAATAATTCAGGGGTATCCAAATAAATTGTCGGCGTGGCCATTTTTCTCCAAATTCTCAATTATTTATTCATCCTCTGCCATGTACTATCCACAATTTGAAACAATGCCCCATATCCAACATAAAATATATTAACATTTTTATGCATCTAAAACTATTATAGTTTTTAATTAAAAAAATCGTTTACTTGTATTTTTATTTTCTATTTTCACTTTTTTATTAATTATAAAACTATCTCTTTATTTTCAATTTATCTCATGTGTTTTCTAATATTTGTATAGAAAATATATGAAATAAGTTAAAAATAAAGTAATTAATAGATTTGTCATTAAAAAGTGAAACAAGAAATGAAAATACATGTAAATACTCTCCCCAAACCTTTCCTAGAGACAAGAGTAGGATACAACTGAACTTTTGTTTGGAAAAGAAACTAGGCGAAAAGTTGGTACGGTTAAAATGAAAACTGAAATTTGAAAAACAACTTTACGAGCTGTGATGATTTTTTAAATATATATTTCTTACCCCATCCCCATCTACAAGTAATGTTTAACATGTCAATAATATGGGCTGCGCATGTGTTTTATACACTGCTTTTTTGCACTGTTCAACATTTACTGTTGGATTAGCGGAAACAATTAACTCATTTGTTACATAGCAGTAATAAAGTCTATTTCATGTCATAATTTACTTATATATGTCAATCAATTACCAGTGAATTTGACTGCTTTACCCTGTGCATGTCTCTTTTTTTAAAGCCTTTTGTGACTTTATTTAAAGGCTTATTTATAGTACGCAGTTATTTAAATTAGTTTTAAAAAAATTCCAAAATAAGTTAAATGGTTTAAACTTGTATGTTTTTCTGAAGTCAACAAGTATATCTATGTATGAAATACTAATCTACAAAAAAACTATTATAAAAGTTTAATATGTTATTATTATTTAATTCATTTAATAACGTCACCCAATTAGACATATTTTTTTAAATAACTCAAATCTGACTTTTCTAATTAAATAAAGACAAAAAAAAACATTTTGATCTAACCTAAAAATATTCAACAAATAAATTTATAAATTTCATATTTTATAAAATATTATTAAGAAAATTGAATATAAAATAGACTCTTAAAATAAATTAATCCCTCCTCCAGATAATTAAATAAACTTAATCTAACCCTAACTTAACAAGTCCTCAACAAAATGGTTGAGGACAATTTATCATTCCATACACTAAATCCACCACAACTGTTTACAAGTTAAGAATATATAGTCTCTATTATACACAAAGGAAACAAAAAACAAAATCTTCTCTAATCCCTCGCTCTCATCAAATTTAACCTAAATATTCCCCGGGTAACTTAAGCAAACTAACTACAAGAAACGCTTTGATAGTAGCAAAGTAATTAATACCAATCTAGTTTAATATTTAGAAAGAGGAAAAATTTATCATTAATTACAATAGTTCTACTTCAGGATCTGCGTCTAATAAAAAATACATATAATCTTTATAAAAAAATTAATTGACCTGTGCAGCATTTCCCTACTCTCTTAAAACTTTTTCCTTATCTAAGGAACATATAAAGGGAATATATATATATATATATATATATATATATATATCTTTTTTTTTTC